ATAAGATTTTTTGCACGTGTTGGATAACTATGAGACACACCTTGAAATATATTAGTATGTTTGTGAATTTTTAAAAAATTTTGGAGAATATAGATACAGGGCAGTGTTATTATCGTATATTTTTTTAAATATGGAGTACAGCTTAGCCCCAGCAAGAATTCTTATAGCCCTTTTCTGTATCATGAATATTTGCATTCATAGAGTTTCCCCATAATATTCTGCCATGTGATATGTTCGAATGAAATAAAGCATAATACACTTTTATTAGGGCATTTTGGTCTAGGCTCTCCCTAATTTTTCTAAGGACGAATAAGCTGGAAGATAGTTTTTGCTTAAGAGGTAAAATATGATCTTTCCAGTCAAGTCTACTATCAAGTGTAATGCCAAGTAATTTAGCCGACTGCCATTCACCGTTGCATTTATCTAGCGAAAAGTATATTTTTTGGGTTTTGACCGTAATATAAAAATATATAATATATATAATATAATATATATAATATAATATATGTAATATAATATACGGACCATGTAAGGTAAAACTGGCATCGTCCGCAACTAAAGCACATTTGACAGACCCCAAAAAAGGGCATAGATCAGCAACATGCACTATAAAAAATACAGGGCCTAGTACGGAGCCTTGGGGGACCCTACTGGAGACCTTCACCAAATAGGATTTAGGTCTGTCATCGCCCACAAACTGTTCCCTGTCATTTAAATAAGATTGTGTTAGCTTAAGGGTTCCGCCGCGAAATCCATACCTAAACAGCTTCTGTTTAGGAGTGTTCTTTATTACCTACCGAACCCGAGTTTTATTGCCATCGGCAGGTATGGTCTGTTCATAGATATAAGAAAGTGACCAAATGCTTTTGAATGATATTATCCAAGGGTGGTCATTAACATACAATACAACAAGATTATTACCAAAAGTTTCGGAATTTAAATTCAGGTAAAATTGTGGTCCGTAATAGAAAATAATTTTATACCTACTTCTATATATTCTTTGGTTTGGTATACTACTTAGTTTAAGTATATTAGAAATCATTCTTATTTCGTGTGTAATACAGCGTATGTTGAATCGTGTGCGAATTATGCAAAATATGTGCCAGTCTAGTGTATCTTAGGAGATGCTCCCGCCCAAATGTAGAAAACACTATTCTATTGAGACTAACGAAGTTATAAGCAATGTTTATTTGACTCTCATTGAACGTGGTGCCAGCAAGGAAGCATCTTTAGAAGAAACGGCCACATTTACGAAAATTGCAACATCAACTGCATGGGAAATTGTGAATAATCCCATTTCAGCGAGGAAAAAAAGAAGCGATGCTGACAACTTCCATTATTACGGGCAAAAGACTATATAGGGACAGGGGACAGGGACAGACTATATAGCAACAAAAACCAAATAAAAAACAATTGTTTTTAACGTAAATTTGTTTCTAGCGTATTGCTTTTTGTAAAACATTGATTAATAAAAAAATGTTTAAAGAAGAATTGCTTTTGTTTGTTTATTTACTTATCCTTACGTATAGTTTCACCATTTCGAATGAAATTTGATTGTGGCGCGTTATCTATTTAAAAAGAATTTGAATTTTTGGCACTGACATAATAAATGCCTAATATAGGGTATATACCCTGTACTACACGAATTATGCGTTAAATTTGACGTAGAATTTAGAACATATTATGTTCGACGTATGGGAGAATGTTTCTTGAAATGGAATATATGATTTTTATTATTCCATATTTCATCCTTCCACTGTATATGTTTTTTAAAATGTCGTTCTTGTATTATTGTATCACTATTAATATCTACTAAAACTGGAAATATTATTTTGTCTTTTCCCAGACGCAGCCCTGTTTTTCTCTTCGTCGAATAGAATTGTGTAAATATTTTTATTGAGCGCAAGGACACAATGGGAATTTTCCATCACAATATTTGCTCTATTTTATTGAGTATGTCTGTCTCGCCAGGCACTTGGAAATATTAATAAAACAACTATTATACGGTACCTTTCTTTGTATCGATGTTTCTGTTGGTTTTGGTATAGTAAATTTAATATTGATTCGATTTTTTTGGGACATATTTCACACCCAAACCGTTTTATAAGCTCTTTGTTTTGAAATTTAATTTATAATTTTGAACAATAGCGATGTACTCTCGAGTAGTTTATTTTACTTCCCGTACACGTGAAACGAACAGCGAACTAATAAAATATACGTTAGTTGTGGGCGGTGATTTGTGAAATCATATACGGTGCATTATTAGCGGAATAAATTACACGGTAATGGGGAATCTACACCAGTTTCCATCATTAGTAGTTAATTTTGAAGTATAGTGTTCAATAAAATATTGAATAAATGTTGCCCGTGTGTCGCGTGCGAACCAGCCAGATGCGTTTTATTAGACGCGTTTTATTTTTCATAATATCCTTTATTGAATTAATCGAGGCTCAAATTTATGTGGGTCAGTTATCTCGTCGTAAAAGCCCCGGAAGCTTGTCAGATTTTTTGCTACGTTATTCGGTGATTCTAATCCTTTCTATACCAAAACAAAACTAATACGTCGTGAAGATTTAATCCTGTTAGGCATCGCAAAAATGATGAAATAAACCGGTGAAGGGGGACCGACAGTGACGTCGATTTTCGTGTTCTTTGGTCGATGGGATTTTCCCGAGACTAAATAAATTTAAAAAAACTAACCGAGAAAGGGAAACAGCTTTTTGTAATAACGAAATTTATGCGATTAAAAATAATTACGCATTGTTGAATAGTCGACGTTTTAGTCATTGAAATCCCCCAGTCATTTCCTCCCTTGCCGTATCTGGCAACTGGAAAAAGAGATATACTGCTTGTAAATAATAATATCAGAGATACGAGGCTAGCACCAAAATTTCCTGGCCTGACATAGATGCAACTCCAGTATCACGATAAAAATTTGTCTTCTTTTAAATATATATCTTAGTAGGCTGCGAAAAAAAAAATTGAAGTCTTGCGTCAAATAGTTTTTTATTGATAGCATTTTAAACAAGACGTGTCCGAAAAAATGTCGCAAATAACACAAATTGAGTGTAGAGCAGTTAAGTTTTTGACAAAAGAAGGGTTAGCGCGTAAAATTATTAAAGAAAGACTGGATTGTGGGTACGGCCAAAGTTCTCCTTCGGATTCTGAAGTGAAAGAATGTGCAAAACGTTTTCGAATGGGGCAGGAGTCCCTTGAAGATGATTCAAGAACTGGTCAACCAATGGAGATCATAACGGAAGATATTGTTGTGATTGTAAAAGAGGTGGTATTGAGTGATCGACGTTTAAAGGTCAAGGAAATTTCAGAAATTACTAAGCTTTCTGAGTGTTCGTCGAATCCTGCATGATATTTTACGTATGCATAAGGTTAGTGCAAGATGGATTCCTAAAAACCTTTCGGCTATTCAAAAACAACGCCTTGTCGTGTCTGCGCGGTCTTTTGTGTGGGTCGGAACCGCAGCTTGTGATAGAAACTATTGTGACGGGAGATGAAACTATGGTTCTCTATTATGACCCTCTATCGAAAAAAGAATCAATGGAGTGACGTCGTAAGGGTGAAGTACCTCCAAGAAAATTCAGAGTCTGCCAGTCAACAAAAAAGGTGATGGCTACGATCTTTTGAGATTGTGAAGGAATTCTTTTGATAGATTTTAAAGAAGCTAATACCACTGTCAATAATAAATATTACGCAACATTATTACATAAATTGCGAGACTGCATAAGTGTAAAACGTCGAGGAAAACTGATCAGAGGCGTGCGTCTTTTGCACGATAATGCACCTGTCCATACTGCTGGTGTTGCACAAGCTGCCATTTTAGAGTGTGTGGGTTCCAACAGATGTATCATCCTCCCTATAGTCCAGATATGGCCCCCAGCGACTATTATTTGTTTGGATATTTGAATAAGGACTTACGTGGACGGCGGTTTAACGACGAAGTTGAGTTAAAAGAGGCTGTTTTAGCACTTTTTTCAGACAAACCAGGGATTTAAGGGATTGAGTTGTTAATAAAGAGATGTAATAAGTTGAGAGGAATTATATTGAAAAATAATACTTTGTTTCTTTCATATTCAGGCCGGGAAATTTTGCCGCTGCCCTCGTATAACGTAATATAGGTATTTGTGACCCCGTAACAACTACTTTAGAGTGATTCTTTGTTAAACTTTCAAATAAACTTCCACAGGCTACTGTAATACTTTTTATAAAACTTCCTGCTGACTTCTTCAGAGCTTGACTGAAACTGGCTCGAATTTTACTCTGTACCTGCTTATATATTGCTTGAGGGGGCGGAGCTAAATGAGGGACATAAACACCGTCTTTGATGACTGATTCCCGTATTGTGGACGGGTAACGACCTGAGTCGCGTCGCAGTTAAGGTTGTTAGGTTGCTTGTAAATTTTGTTCGATAAAACTAAAATTCTTGCATGTAATCAATTCTTCTACCAACGAAAAATCCGAGAGCCTATTGAAATCTATAAGCAACCTAACAATCTCAGGTCTGTACCTGTCCCCAATTTCGGAATCAGTCATCAGAGACAGCGTTTATGCCCCTCAATTAGCTCCGCCCCTCAGTTAGGTTTTTGTGTATTTTATTATTTGGTTTATATATTTAGATTGATCTCCAAAACACTAGTTATCTGTGGGGCACCTAACTTTCTGTATCTTTTGTAGTTTACTGTAATAATAAGTATTGTACACATAGATCTTCTGCAAAAATTGCCAAGACATGCAAGATGTATCATCTTAAAATGAAACCTTGCCCTATTCGCTGTCTCTCTGTCTGTCAACATACATTTATTTTTATATTCATAAACACATAATTCTCATCACATCTCATCCATCTAATTATTTATTATCGCTGGCGAACAACTTTTAAGGTTAAATTTACTGATCTTACCAAAGTAAAAATTCCTGGCAATATTTAAAAGACTTTAATTTTACATTGCGCACAACTTACTTTGCTTTTTTTTCTTCATTTCCAGGTAAACACCCGTCTCAATAAACGAACGATGGCACTGTTCTCTGTGATTTTATGGTAAGCATATCGAAATATCGTAAAAGCTTTTCTCTGTTCCCTATTTTAAAATACCCGATTATACTAGCATCAAAGGTGCGTAAAGTGCCACTTTGGACATTTCTTGTACTTTAGTCACGTGCCTGGGAGCGGTGGATGTTTTCGGTATGTTTTAGACACGATATTTTCTCTCAGTTTTGCAAAAATATACCCAAAAATTAAAAAGGCGTTTATCAAACTTGGCGCACGATTTACTATTATGTGGCCGAGTCGAATGAAGATTTAAATTATTAACTACACGTATAAACTTATTAGCGGCATTTAGAATTCGAATGCCGGATATCTCGCGATGTGATCAGTCAAACAAATCGTTGAAGCGCGTTAGAGATAGATGCCTCAAGACTTTCCGAAGTAACTCGAAACCATCCGTTAAAGTCTAACTCGTAAATCAAGGCACAAAATAATTTAAACGAGACACGAAAACAACACCACAAACGCCGTGATTTTTATTGGCTCTCTATAGGTGGCACCCCCGATGAATCCGAATCGTGATTTATTTACATATTTTTGACGCGATAAACGACAATAAAAATTCAAATAAAACTTCGAAATTATTACGCAACGATGTCCATTAAACGAAATTTATGAGGGCACCGGCGAAGATAAAGCGGCATCGTATGTTTCCACTTAAGGAAAACCGTCGGATAGATCGTCTGACAAATATCAATGGGGTATTATTAAATTTTAACTAATCTTCGTTATTTATTCGTCATATATCAACGCACAAACTCGAATAATTCTACACAATTGTAGCCCGTAAAAGAAAGGACTTTATAAATTATATAAGTAGAAGGGTATATTTAATTTCTAATATTTATGCTTAAAATGGTCGATTCTTGCGATAGGTGAAATTGCCTGGTGCCGAAACTCGAAAGGCCATATGTAATTATTATGGATGATGCACGATCATTCTACATTTAGCGCACCTACGAGAAAAGAAAAAATTACCAGTAAGGTAATTAATTAAGCAGAACATGCTCTAAAATGTACGTTAAAAATTGTCAAAAATTACAAAACAAACTTGTTGTATGCTACAGACGAAATAATTGCTGAAATGGGTATGGGCTTAGTGCAAAATATTTTGTAATAAAAATATTGTAAGTGAGGCAATACACGATGATACTGCAGTAGTATCTGTTTGGAAGGCAGCTCTCCAGATAGTTACGAAAGAAAATTGGGTTAGTTGTCTGACACATACAGAAAATATAATAAAATAATACTGGGAAAAAGAGAATGCACTTGATATAACGGTATAATACGACCAAAAATATAGTGCATTTATTGCTTTGACGTTTTTAGTATTTTACAATACCTTTGCCGTAAACCTTCGTAGGACCGTGGTAAAAGCCATCCCAATGAATGTTTATTCTGCCCAAGATGGACCTTAATGAATATTTGTTTAAATTTGATTAAGCATTTGATGCTGCGGGGTATTTTAATAAGCAGAAGCGTGTATTTTAACATCAGGTAATATGTATCGTATTTAAGAGTTTAATCTAAATTGCAATATGTTCTGTATATATTACGGAGGTATTTGTCTGTGATCCTTCCAGTAAGTACGTATTTATGTACCTGATTCTCGAGCTTTGAACCTTCCAGGCTGTTTTCACTGAATAGTTCAAAGGGTAAGGGTAAGTACCTGGACTCTATCTAGTTTATAAATAATCCATTTTTGTCTTTTACGCCTGTCGATTAACAACATTCTTCTTGTATTTTTGTGTATTCTACATAGTTCTTCGATTTGTAAATGAATGTTTACAATTTTATAATTCAGAAGAGGAAGTAGGACTAGCAATAAAAACAAGTGACGTTACCAAACTTCCGAAGTCAACTGTAGAAAAACTGTTGCAAAAGAGATAGTCGAGAGGAAAGTGGGAGAAGATGATGGTACTTCGCGAGTTTTTAAAGAGCAACAGGGAAATCTAATTAGGGGTGTAATCTACGAAGCTTATAATGTGAACAGTGTTTTAATCCTAGAAGTACTGCTTGAAGAAGTGTAGTAGAATGTATATTAATAATTTTGCTATATAAAAATGTAATGAAACAGAACATAATAAATTGTTACTTTCGACTAATTTTTTTTATCTGCATGTTTCAAGAATTGCTCGGCGAGAAAGATTGAACACATACTTATATCCCGATTTTTAGTGTAGGTAGATAAATTCCTAGGAGGGTCCTGGAATGGTTACGGCAGGGTGTTCTATAAGGGGTTTTGGAGTAAAAAACGGTAGAGAAATTTAATCACGAGGTCTGTTGTAAAAGCACTATATTTCTCTGCCAAGTATACCACCACTTCTTATTAATGTAGACGAAGGATCATTTTCTGGTAGTAGCACTTCCATCGTAAATACAAATTAAGTATGGTATACTGGCTTTGCAAATTATATTTTGTACGGTATGACATATATATTTTTTAATTTTCGGATATTTTTTGGTGATGTTTTAATTTTTATTAGTTTTCGGACAATGGTCAAATTATCATAATTTTTTCATGTAGATTCACCTACTTAAATATGTGCATACCATTAAGGAACGCTATTTATTATTATATAAAGAAAACACGAAACCATCTCTGAGTATGGGCGCAATAGTTAAATTAATATGTGCCAAGTACAACTGATTCTGTCTCTCTTACCCTCAAGTAATATAATCCTGTGTCGGTTATTGCTTAGTCGAAATTGCTGACGTTTCGTCTAAGCAAAAACCGGCGCAGGAGGAATCCATAAGATTTGTAAAAAGCATTACAGTAGCCTGTGGAAGTTTCTTTGAAAAATTAATATAATCGTTATCATTACTGACGTCTGTGTGGCATTCATCAGATAGACATTTAGCGCGGAACAACATCTGTTCAAGTATAAGTCCAAGCAAGATGAACAATATATCACAAATCGTACCGACTATACCATTAGATCGGTTGCTTGAGATATTTAGGTGTTGAGTTTTATCAAGATTCAATTTTCTTTTATCTCATTTTTATTTTTGTCAGAGGTTAAATCTGTTGTATTATCTTTATACAGTACTCACTTAATTGGAGAGATGAGTAAGTTAATATCATTAATTTAGATTTATTTATCGACCCAAAATTATTATATCAAATGTTGGAAATACATCTTTACTAGTGGATTGCTACATCGCTTTGTTTTATTCTATTTTGAATGAACTAATTCAAGATTACGTCCATCTCTGTGATAAATCATAATATAATTAAAGAAACAAGTTAACTTCACACGAAATAGGAGAATTATGCAAACGTTTCTGACCTCAATACTTTCAAAATATCGAGAAGTCAATCTAAGCGTTTAATTCGAAGTGATTTAGAAGCTTTGTGAACTACATTGAAAATGAAATTCCTTACAACCACAAAAAGTTTTGCCAACTTGTGTCAGTTAAAAGTTACTCCTCTGGCCCGCATGAGATCGTTAATAATGAGTCGGAGATATGTGACCTCTCTGAGATCTGTAATTTGTTTGCGAAGTTCTTTGAAAGCAAATTTTGCTCCAGCTCATACGCCGAGCAACGGTGCCTTGAGCAATTATTTAATCGATCACTGACGTTGATGATTTAGTAAAATGTTTTCAGCATAGCAAATACTGTTTGTATGCTGACGTCAAAATTTTCAGACAAACTTCTTCCGACTGCTTTAAATTACGGGAAAATATTCAGTCCTTTTTATCGTACATCGAAAAATGCTGTATTATATCTTTTACTAGAAATCGGGTTCCTATTCACTTCTGTCGATAATAGCACGCTGAAAAGAGTAACAGAAGTGAGAAAGGGGTATCTGAGGGATATTGGACCAGAAGTTATTTTTTCAATTTCACATCAATACCGTCATATCATCCGGTTTTCAAATGCTAGCCAAGTAAAGATATGCTGAGAGCTGAAGACTTTGCCTGCTTAGACCTCCACTTGTCCACAATTTCACATAATTCCTAATTCTTTAAGGAAGATACTCACTGCTATTTTTGGATCGACACTCGTTATCTAATTCGTAATCTTTTCTTGACTTTACTTATTTAAGGTATACTAAAAAATAAATTAATAAATAAATAGAAACTTCTATATTCTATTTATGAATAAATAAATAGAATAAATTTAAAAAAAAAATGTATAAGATTCGTGGACTCAATTCAAAGATTTTGTTATTTTTTTCTCTTTTTCGTATTGTTGTTAACTAAGTTGTGCATCATATACTTCTATTCTAATTCTTACTAGGTTTAACCTGGTCGTGTCCCAAAGAGCATATAAATAAATAAATAAATTAACACAAAATCTTGAATTGAATGTGATTTTAAGCGAAAAATACCTCATCTTATATTGGTTGCTTCGTAAAGCGTGATTATCATGGGAGAATTTAACACATGCAGATATCGATCATTTTTTTTAGAATTCATTCAATAAATTTGCTTGAAAATGTTATCTCTCTTTAGTGGTCTGGATGTCTTTAGTTAACATCGTCCGGATATGATTAATAATTCCGACCTTCGATTTCAATCTTCTGATCGCTGACTGCGGTGTTGTTGGTATATAAAAAAGCGAATCTCTAAGTGAATGAGATTTAGAACTTCAAAGTTTTTTATAATGTCTTCTGTTACTCATACTTAGTAGGTATTTTATGGATTGTATGAGCGTTCAATATGCAGCCATTATTTCGTATTGAACAATAATTCACGCCAATGCACATTAAAATACAATTGTTAAAAGTAGCCACAAATATCTATTAAGGTTCGTTAATAACTAGCGTGGGACGTTGATTGAGTTTACGGTGTGGCGTTTATGGGTCTACCAACAATGTTTCGAGCCTATTAAATGGCGCGTTGAGTTTAACCAAACCCTTTTCGATGGTTTTGAAAGTAATAATCATAAGTTAAATTTCTCATTGATTATTTACTTTGCCACTAAGTGATGTTTGAAAACGTATACAGCGTTAAATTCAACCTACAGCTTAAGGTGAATTTCCA